ATACAGTGGGTGTTTTGCATAGATTTCTCTTAACTTTTAAGGGTTTTGGCTCCTTGTATTTATTTTGATTATTGAAGTGGAGTAGTCATTTTATCACTATATTGATTTTATATTATTTTTCTGTCTCCATGTCTATTGTGAGTATGTCCTTTTTCTCTTACTAGAATCAGTCTCTTGGAGGGGAGGTTGTCGCCTGTATAAATCTTTTCAATCATTTTTTGCCAATGGTGTGTGTGGTGGGTGGGGAGATGGAATGTGGGGTCGTCCCTTTATGTATTACAATAATGTAACATTTTGTCAATTAACTCCTTTTTATAAGGGTTTTGTCGCTATTACCTACTATGATTAAGAAGAGGTTGGTCGCTTTTATTTTTTTACAAGAAAAAGGGTTTTCGGTTCATTTTACGAAGAATGAAGGTATTCTCCCTTTTATTGATTATGATTATCGAAGTGTTTTATCGGTTTCACTGTTTCACCCATCCATGTTTCCCTTTCAGCGATCATGAACGTCCCTGACAACTTCGGAGATGGTTTGCATTTAGGGGGGATTTCACAGTATTTCAGTACTTGACATGGACGACGACGGGAGTCTCAATGACATCGTTCAAGTGGTAACATGTATGGCATCAATTTGGGCTTGGCAAGTTAAGCTGACATGCTTTCGTATATTTGAAACAATGGTTAAAACGTCAGCACCAGCTCCCTCTATCAATCAATACATAAAATGTGTCGGTGTTAAACGTGTCTGTACAACTACAGAATGCTTGTTACTGTTGCATCAGTCAGTGTACCTGGAGTATGATGTGAGTGAGTGAGTGAGTTTAGTTTTACGCCGCTTTTAGCAATATTTCAGCAATATCACGGCGGGGGGACACCAGAAATAGGCTTCACTTGTTCCCATGTACGGAACCGAACCTGGGTCTTCAGTGTGAGGAGCGAACGCTTTAACCACTAGGCTTTGGAGTGTGATGTGAAACTAGAACTGTTGGGCCAAACTCCACATAACTCGCCCCAGTGTTACCATACGTCTCCTGTGTTGTATATAATGTGCTACTTGACACAGTGGCTGGACATATGTTTTAGGGTGTATAAATGTTTAAGGTGATGGCTTGTTATGGTAGAAACAGGGTTTGATTCCTCACTCACTCATTCATTCAACCACCCGCTCACTCACTCATTCACTCACTCACTCACTCACTACTGTAATCAGTCTAACTTGTGCACGTCATGCCACAGTATAACTACAAGTGCCAGTTTCTACAAGAAAGGTTGAGCATGGTTCAACTCAGCTTAGAGCAGCATCTCAGTTACATCACGACTCGTCAGCTTAATGACAGGAAATTAAACCCCGAAGTGATAACGTTTACAAGTTTGGTAAAATTCACAAGCAGCGGCACAATGTTGACTTACCTGAAAACATCAAAACAGATCAAAACGGGATTCGAACCTAAGATTATAGATTTCCGTTTCACCGGAAGTAACTCACTTAGAACTGCTGTTCCTTTGAAGACCGGGTCACTTGACCCAATGGTTCTAGTCAGACTTTATCCCAACAAAACGTTTCAAGCACCACTGTGTGTATTTATATAACCAAATTAATTCCGATGTGTATACCGAATGCATTTATGCAAATCTAAATAGATAAATCCTTGCACAATACTGACATCATGAATACAATGTTACATAAACACATTAGCTCGCAGCCATGCCGTTAGATATGCATTGTTGATTGCTTGCATGGATCAACATCTACATCGAGACAAGCCTGATGAGTCTGAAGGACGTGGGCAGAAGTTGGCAGTTATTGAACATGGCAGTCGTCTTTCCCATACATACCTAGATACAATTTGTTGTGCCTGTTGCATTTAACTATTCATGAGGTTGTATCTATGTATTCATGCTTTGGGGGCATGATCGTTATGTCAAGCGACCTGAATTATCCTGTCTGTCTGTTTCCGTTGATTGGACTTGATTTATTAGTTTTCAATAATGCTGACACTGCATTTCTGCGCTGACTACAGCTACAACGTGTGTGATTTGGGTGAAACGAAATTTGTAATATGTTTTCTGTTGTCAGTTTGATGTGGTGGAAACTCCCATAGACAAGTACCACTTTGGATGAAGGCACCAGCACACGTATGATCATACCCTGTCAAGAATCACATAAATACCCGACGAATTTTTTATTCGAACCCAGAATTATAGCTTCTGGTAGACTGGAGGTATGCATTCCGGACTGGACGACTGAACATCCCTGCCCTTGCATTGATGGAGATCCGTGAAGATCCGGGGTAAAATAGGTCTTCAGCAACCCATGCTTGCCACAAAAGGCGACTATGCTTGTCGTAAGAGGCGACTAACGGGATCGGGTGGTCAGGCTCGCTGACCTGGTTGGCACATGTCATCGTTTCCCAATTGCGCAGATCGATGATCATGCTGTTGATCACTGGATTGTCTGGTCCAGGCTCGATTATTTACAAACTGCCTCCATATAGCTGGAATATTGCTGCGTAAAACTAAACTCACTGACTTGCATTGATGGGTCCTCTTTCACAGAGAGGTCTTAGCGCTAACACGATCGTAGCTCCCATACATAGACTGACGAAAGTCGTACCGCTAAGATCGCTTTGTGCGCATGGATCCAGGAGCTGTAAATGCCTTACATCATTCCCACCACCAGCAACATCACCCCCTTGTGGTTGTATTTTCTCTCCCATTGTTCCCTTCCATCACTCACTTTCTATAAACTCCGCCAAGTTAGCGTTTCTCCACGTGCTGCCCACAATGCAGCTGCACTCATCCAATAATCTCTGAATTATGCTGTCGCTGCATCCTAAATACCCCCTCAACTGCACAGCTATATGGCTGTCAGTCTGAATCACTCCACAGAATGCTGATCTTGTCCCCTGTTACTGGACGAAAACCAAAGTACTCTAATTCATTTATGTACTCAATCCTTGGGAGATTCTTGCCGTACACAACGTTAGATTTTCCCTATATAATGAACAGAATAATCTTCATAAGCTTTATGAACAAACATTGATTTAACTATGAAAAACTGCGATGAAACATTGCCAATTCCGTAAATGCATTCATGATCAACACAATACACTTAGATGGGTATATTGATAAAGATCTGATATATATAAAGGAGTTTATTATGGTAAACCCATTATCAATATCAGGACAAACGGTAGCCCAGTCTATATCTCTATTAATTCAATATTCCTCGTTGTCCGTGTACATTAAGAACGAGTGCTTTAAGACTGTTGATTTCACCATTCATTTATCACATATCCTGTAGCTGTTTATAGTCATAGTACGCGTCGATGCAACCATCTAGTTGTTAACAGCCTCATTGATTTTACAGCGCTAATACAAATAGCAGTCCAAGCTGACCAGGACGTATCAACATTTTCAACAGAGCGTGGAGACGACTCTGTCTGGGAATACATTCTTAAATTACTGCAACATTAGATAAGCGCCAGGTCCCCTGAGGCACTATAGAATTAAAAACAATCTGTATAGAAGAACCCCTTATCACTTCAGATAAAAGTGAAAGTAGGCGAGTCTTGTTGCACGGCGTTTAGCAGTATTTGAGTATTATCAAGGCGGGGAACATGTGCCAATGTCGGGGAACGAACCCAGTTTGATGAATGAACGATTTAACCTCCAGGATACAACGCAAATTGTGGCAAATAACTTTGAAGGGGGGAGAGGGAGGAAATGAATATTGTTTGTTTTCAAAAAATTAACTTCTAATTAATGTGTACGTGCAATGAAAATGGTAACATATCGAAAAGCGATGTTTGAAACAAACACCCGATGCACGTGTCTCAATAAAACAATACAACAGATAAACCCCAGCATCGAACAACTCACATCGAGCACACAAATACACTCTTAAACTTAAGGTATTTAAAAGTAATCAGATATACATGCATTACAAAATACTACTTCAGTCTCCCTCTCAAATAACAAGCCACGTTTGCTATTTTTAAAGTACACCCCTTCAGTGAGTGAGTGAGTTTAGTTTTACGCCGCATTTAGAAATATTCCAGCTATATGGCGGTGGTTTGTAAATAATCGAGTCTGGACCAGGCAATCCAGTGATTAACTACAACTCTTCAACTTGTATGGGTACTGTTGTCATCATAACGTAGAATAACACTTTCCCGGAACAACGGCCACGAGAGATATCATATCTGTCCTAACAAACCCAAACAAAGAGTGACCCGCATCTACCTGAGATATAGTCCCCTTTCCCCACCCTTTCCGTCCAAGCACATCATCTTAATAGTCTATCTTTCACATCACTACCCTAGCAGATTAACAAAACACCCCTATTCAACTCCTTGATACACTCGCCTCTGCCCTTCTACCTTGGCATGTTGGCATCTCCTTGTAGGCGTGACGGGCTGTGTGAGGGAAACTCGCATCCAGCATCCTGCGTGTGTTAACTGTATGGTCAGTTGCAGTCTGGGATAACGTCAGCATCAATGTGGTTTCTAACCTTGTCTTTCGCCTGTAAACCGTCGCGCGGTACACACGCTGCTGGCGTCGAGAGCCGCCGCGGTACAGCTTCTGATTGCCTGTGGCGATGAGATCACAAGAGGGGTGAGCGTAGGCGACGTCCGAGCAACAAGCGGCGTTATATCGGACCGAGCACATCTGGAAATGATGTGAACTGTTTGAAGCTCTTGGAAAACTCTTTGTTGATGGGATTGGTTATTATCTATCTGCTTGTGTGTGTTGGGTTATCGCTGTCGGTGGGCCGTGATGAAGACAGACTCATCTCTTGACATCTGCCTTCCCAGAGTTAAGGATGCACTAAAGCAAGTCACCATTATCACCGACCGACTACCTGTAGATACTTTCTCAGTTGTGCATTTATCTATGTGTATTTACCGAGATGGTTGCATATATGGACTATATATGGTCTGCTGTGACAAGGCAATTAGCGCGTCGTAGACTTGCAGGAATCAGGAACCTTTAGAACCATGTCCACGGCCAACTGGAGCCGTGCCACCTGTAAGCATCTCTACGAAGTTAACGGCACCATCCAACAATGCTACTTCTCCGACGACGATCTGTTGCACGCCATCTACTCCTTTATTGAGCCGAAGCCTCACGAATGGGTGTTTACGGCGTTGTATGGGATTGTGTTCGTGCTGGGTCTCACAGGCAACTTTCTCGTGTGTTTCGCGGTGTGGAAAAACAGTCAGCTCAGGACGTCAACTAACCTGTTCCTAGTGAACCTGGCAGCAGCAGACTTCCTCGTTATAACACTGTGTCTCCCTCCGTCGTACATCCAGGCAATATGGGAGACCTGGTTCCTAGGGGACACCATGTGCAGGATTGTGGAGTATTACCAGGTAGGTGAAGGCATGTCTCTATGTATGCTCACATATGCACGTTCAAGGGTATAATTCATATGTTGTCACATATTTACGAATGTATGGATTACAACAGCCGTTTCATATATGCAAATAATATTTCGCTCATCTGCACAAGCAAACCTTAATAATAGCGTGTTTGTCCGACGTCCAGCGTCCTGCTTGGCCTATAAAGTATCTTCTCTTGAAAAACCTAAACAAAGATTTGTTTGAGCCATTCAGGGGGTAGCATCTTTATGCTCACCTTTCCCCGAACACCTGGTGTCATCTCTATCGGACCATGACTCATAAACACATGCACATGATACTGTGGAAACGGTTTGTTTTGATTACCAAACATTGTGGAAATGTAGACACTTTTATTACTCAGTTTATATACGTTATAATGATTATTATACAGTTCCAGGCGTAATATAGTCACCGGCTCATCTCACGTAAATACGTACCCTTGTCACAACATAATTCTTGAACCGAACAATTTCTATTATAAAGAATGGATCGCATGGTAAGTAAATTTCGTAGTTTCCTGAAAATCCAACAAATTCCGTATCACCTCGTTCTGCATATTAATGCAGAAATGGTAAATATGTAGAAGTACGAGTGCATTAAAACGCAATCTGCCTCTTTTGTTACACGTACAGACGACGTTGTCATGTTCTATTTAAAGGATGTTGCTGGGAAACATAATAGTATAAGTTTAATTGCCATCATCACACAAATGTCATAACATCTTAATCTTCTCTTGTGGGGTCCCCGCGGACAACCGGATGAGATGTCGTGATCATCGTCGATTCAAATTACTTTCTTTGGTGGAAACCTTCAATCATTACAGCCATTGTGCTTATTTTATCGATTGTCCTATGTCCTTTTGAAAACTCTAATATTTAATTAATGCGTTGGGTAGTTAGTTAAGATATGCACTCTTTGTGTGGCCAGCAATTGATAGAAGCGTTAGTTATTAAACATGGAAACAAATGGACTCTGAACATGGAACAATTGCAATAATCCTCACAGCGTAAAGCTCCAAATCTATTTAGGTGATCCGTGACATAGATGTTGAGTAATGGGAATACATCCTCCTTGGAATTCCGTAGGGATTCATCCTGCCAAACGAATCAAGGATCAGTACTAATTTCATATAAAAATGCTACGACAAGTGCCGGATTTCCCACGAGATCACAAACCAAAAAATACAGATATATTTTTTTCTCAAATGTGAGTTTTGAAGGATAGGTATAATTTAATAAAACGGTCATGATGTGGTTGACTCAGAGCCATGTGCTGCCTGATGCTTCCCTCAGTTCCAGATGATGAAGACGCATATTGGATGTAACTCAGGTACCTGTTTCACTGGGGACTCATAAAACTGAGAATAGCTGTACCGCTAAACCAGACCTACTTCATGAATATGAAACGAAACATTGTACAGATGACCTACAAATGCTTTATTCCCCAAACACTTAACACGTCAAAACATAACGCGTGAAATCAATGACGAACAGAAGAAAGGAATAACCTCGTTGTATAACGCGTGGAACTTGTTCAAAGATTGATGGAAATGATAAAGTGTAGTCTCATTGTTGGTCTGGTGGTGTTGTTCCCATAGTAATGAGTCAGAGACTTGGTTCCTTGAGGGAGACATTAGTTATGTCTTACAACGATTAACTTCTTCTGGTTGTATCAGTAAGTGAATGATGGAATGCGTGGAGAATCAGACATTTTCCAACCATATCACGGCTCTCAATGATCGAATCTCGGTCTGACAACGTAGTGGAAGAAGTCATTAAAACCGCCATCTTGAAGGATGACAATCGTCTTTGACAATTAGCCATGTAACACGTTGTTTTTTGTTTTCCGTCACAATATTCCAGTTATACAGCGGCGGTATGTAACAATCGAGTCTGGACCAGACAAACCAATGATTGGTATTGTAAACAATGATCTATGCCGTTGGAGTGCCGTGGCACGAGGTCTTTTACCCTGACCACCAGATCCGTTAGGTTGCCTCATACGACCAACATAGGTCTTTAGTGACAACTTCAAGCCCACCCACACATACAGTTAGATCCGTTAGGTTGCCTCATACGACCAACATAGGTCTTTAGTGACCACTTCAAGCCCACCCACACATACAGTTAGATCCGTTAGGTTGCCTCATACGACCAACATAGGTCTGCCTTAGTGACCACTTCAAGCCCACCCACACATACAGTTAGATCCGTTAGGTTGCCTCATACGACCAACATAGGTCTTTAGTGACCACTTCAAGCCCACCCACACATACAGTTAGATCCGTTAGGTTGCCTCATACGACCAACATAGGTCTTTAGTGACCACTTCAAGCCCACCCACACATACAGTTAGATCCGTTAGGTTGCCTCATACGACCAACATAGGTCTTTAGTGACCACTTCAAGCCCACCCACACATACAGTTAGATCCGTTAGGTTGCCTCATACGACCAACATAGGTCTTTAGTGACCACTTCAAGCCCACCCACACATACAGTTAGATCCGTTAGGTTGCCTCATACGACCAACATAGGTCTTTAGTGACCACTTCAAGCCCACCCACACCTACAGTTCACATGACACAACACAGTGTAACGCACACCCGAAAATGCGTCTATTGGCCACTATCGCCCACAATATGATATTTATATATAGGACTATTTACATCACACTTTTCGTGCATCACATGCATTATAGGTTAATATACCACTCAAAAGAAGTGAAAAAACATCACAATCTTTCATGTTGCTTCAGTTGATCTGTCATATTTTGCTGAATAGTGTATATTAATGTCATGCATGCCTACGACTATTCTTGTGTACACACTTCTGTATCTTCCATCGTGACATAAAACTCTAGCAATATATCGTGTATTATTTAATGGCTTTTATGTGGGATACACTGACATGCACACACATTAGCGTGAACCAAACAACCATAACTTTAAATAATTGACGAAACTCATTTTAGAGAGCATTGTTGAGGACATTATACATCTAGATAATAACTTGCAATGAGAACTAAAATGTGAACATCTATTCAATCGAGCTGACACTCGTCTACTAGATGATTCATTATTGTTTGTTTTGCAGGCATAACGGAATACAAATTCTGTCAGTGTATAATATTGTGTTTTACGGAGAAAACTGTTTAATGTGCGTGTTTATCGGTGATTGACACGATCTCTCTGCATTGTTGCAGACCCCAGTGCCCCAACACTGTCAAAGTAGGGCGTACAGGACAAGGTAATAGAATCCATAGCGACAAGTAAGGCTTCAGTGTGACAAGCAAGATCTATAAGCTCAAGGTGCCACAGTTACAATGTTAAAACACATCTCTGATGTCATTTTATATCCGAAACGCTCAATTACTCAAAAGTAGATAGTTAGTTGTCAATTATTTATTATCTGGATAAACTAATCGTTTAGAACAGCGAAAAACAAAATCAAGATAATACATTCCATTATCGACCCACACAATCCAAACCAGAATAGAAGGAGCACTGGCTTATTCTGTAGGTATTTCCACAAAAGAAAGTTTGGAGAAACTTTTGAGTAGGCATGTTTTGAGTTATATCCTTGTATCCTAGCATCCCTTAACAAAAATGGAAGCTACTGTCTAACGAATGGAGGGTTAACTCTCCATGACATGGCCCGTGTGGCATCTGCAATTCTGCCCTCCAGAAGACATTGCTTCATCTAACGAGATGGATATTATCTCTGACATACTGCCACCTAACCTCTATATGGACCACTACAGCAAGACGCAAGCCTAATCGGATCATCTCGTGATCCGGTCCTCTCTGGAATTGTCAAGGATGCAGTCAATGTAACGTGGACTGGACCTAGCAAGTGTTAACTTTTATCAACGAATAATGATTTACATCTCCCACTGGGGGAGTGCTTGCAGTGTTTAACAGTGACGATATTAAAGCGGAGTCGTATGTCTCCAGCTTCTGTTTTCTGAGTCTCGGTTTCCCTGTACCATTATAAACATGCGGCCTTTTTAATTGAGCTCCAACCTTCTTAATTACATTCCTTATTTTGATCGTATTTTGATCGTATGTCCATGATATTATCGGTACCTCTTGCAGGTGGTACGGGAACACTGAATCTGTGTACGACGGTAGCCGCCGCAAATACTCGTAACTTAATACGAGGAGCCAAATCATTATTGTAGCGGACCATTTTTCGACAAATATTAAATTCATACATATATGTTGTGTGCTGCGTGCATGTGTGTCTACGTCACAGTTACAACCTATAATCAGATATCATCATGGGTAAATATACGTGTGAACAGCTAAGCGAGTTTTAGAATTTAACAAATATACAAAAAACGTATATGGCTCCTTGGTCAGGAAGTTACATTACAACAACAAAATACTATCTCCAAAACATAAAAGACTGTTTGGTTTCCGTGGAAATACAACAGCCTAGGAATCAAGTCAGAGAGTACATGTATACAATTTGCAACCGAAGTGTACGCGATGTTGGATATTTCCCCGTGTAAGGGTCACTACCATCCTACATAGCCTCATCGGCTCTTGAGTTCCCTGCACCTGTCATTACAGAATTTAAGCAGCTGTGGTCTGATCTTGTCCTTGTTCATGGCCATCCCAGGGTCACGGTTCTGTGCAGAAAGCAGACTGTCATTTGAAAGACATGCTGGCTTCTTGACTCTGAGCCTGCATCACCAGTGACTGGTCAGTAGGTCTGAGGTACGTCCGGTTACATAAATACTAATAGAGAAACCCGGATGTTGCTTTTGCTGCTTCATTATGGTTCGAGTCTCGAGTTGGTTTGACATCTTCCAGTTTCACTCAAGTAGTTATTGACCGATGAACATCCGGGTTAGAATTGGTCTTCAGCAACCCTTGCTTGGCGTAAGAGGCGATTGACGGGATCAAGTTGTTGTCAGGCTCGCAGATTTGGTTGACACGTGTCATCGTATGCTAGATGCGTAGAT